ATCATTTCACTCTCTCTTCCACCTTTATTTGCTGTTCTTGCGTTAAAATCTCCTCCCATTATTATGTATCCTTCCTTGATATCTTCTAATATTTTTCCTACTTTTTCATAGTTTTCACTCCTTCTATCTCTCATGTATACGCTTAAGATCATAAGTTTTCCTTTGTCTGTGTTTAAATCTAGTTTGATTAGTTCCTCATTTAACTTTTCTATTATTGTAGACTTTACATTTAGGGATTTGCTAAATGCCGTGACCATTCCTCCTTTTAGCCTTCCCCTTTTCCCTTCCCTTCTTGCTTCAACCAGTAAAATATTGTAATTTATCAATTTATTTTCTATTAATTCTCTGTCTTTTTCGTCCGCCCAAGTCTCTGTTAAATTTATTACGTCATACTCCAGTAGTTTTTCCCATTCTTCCTCTAAATTCCTAATACCCGCAACATTCCAAAAGGTTATTTTTAAACATTTTGCTTTGTTATTTTCTTTGTATATTCTTTTGTCGACTTTATTATCTAAGTTGTCTCTTAATTGTCTAGCAATATTACCCGCTATTGTTCCTAATAATCCCCTATTATCTAAGTTGAGCGCATTTTTGTTGGTAATCTGATACTTATTGTCTATTTTATGTTTTAGTTTTTTGGCGTAAGTTTTCCTTCCATTTCGTTCCATACCATCAATCTCTCATCTACTTTTAGTTTCTTGTAACCTATTTTAACAACTTTTCCTTTCTGTCTCTCTTCGGACGCTATCTGCTTTATGCTTTGTTGTATATTTTTCTCATTTTCCGTTAGTTCACTGTCTATATATATATTTGTTCCTTTTAGTTTACTTTTTGCATGTAAAATTTGTTTTTTGTTTTCCCAGTCTTGCAGTTTAATGAAAATAATCTGCCTATTATGTTTTTCTAATTTATTTGCAGATATTATTTTAGGTTTTATTTGTAATTTTGTATAAATAATCTGCCCAACCTCCTCTTTTATTTTCTCTGCAGTATTTCCTTTTATTTTGCAACCCGTTACTACAATATTATTTCTTTTTTCATTTTTTTCTATCTTTTCTAGTTTTTCTCCTAGTTTTTCTACTCTGCTTTTCAAAAAGGTTTTTTCAGTTTCCCATCTTTCCCTTTCCTGTTTGTATTCATTTTTTATTATTTGTAATTCATCTTTTAATTCATGATTTTCTTTCCTTAATTCTTTTAGATCAGTTCTTATTTCCCTTATCAGCTTGCATAACTCATCGTATTGTACCATTTCCGTTTCAGACCCTTTTTGTTGCTCACACTGTATGGTAACTTGCGTTTCTGAATTAAATGTCGTTGCAGGTTTCTTGCTGGTTTGGCAGATTTCCACTTTTGTTGTGTCTTCTCTTTTTCTTTTATAAAAGTCTGTTATACAGCCTACACTTTTTACTCTTGGTCGGAAGGTGTCTCTAACAGTTCCGTATTGATTTTTATTATCGATTTCCTTTGACATAACCTCTTGCTTGATTTAGAAAATGCAATTTCTCTCCAACCTTATCTTCAACTTCTCTGGGATGTTCTCACCTTAGGGTATTCTTTGCTATATGCCTCTGTATCTGCTGCACTCTTATAGCAAAAATTCGACTGTATTCTTATTAAAACTTTGTTTTTCACCTCAGCACCTTTAACACGTCAATACTCCATACTCGACCTCCTGTGCTAGTTTATATGTCGGGCTTCCGATTGAATTGATGATTGGTCGCAGAGGTGTGTCGTTCATATGGATCTTGGGAAGGTCATAGAGACGTGAACTTTTACTGTCTGAAGGTGTATGTTGCTTGATGAGCTTGTCCTCCCAGTCGGTTTTCTTAAGCAGATTGGTAGTTCGGCGTTCTACCTTTGTTGTCGGATCTTGGCTGCAACGTTTCTAGTTGTCTTCGGAAATTAAGACTGTAATTTTCTGATTGTATTTTTCGGTATCCATGCCAATTAAGCAACTCGTGAGCAATTTTCTGGTAACAATCAGTTTTATTAAAGGCTATTTCTTTTTTTAACTGCAAATAATTGGAGAAGGATTTTGAAGTATTCCATCAAATATTCCAGAAGCGTTTAATTAACCAATTTGCTGGAAGTTTACATCGGCTGTGAGAAAAACGTTACATATTGTTGGAAAGCTCTCGAAGAGAGAGCAAAGAATCTGCCGTTATTGAAGAATTTCATCGAATTTTCTGTAAGTTTCTGTAGGTTGTCACGAAACCCAAATACGTCATATCAATGGAAAGCTCTAGAAGAAAGAACAAATTCGACGTTATCGACTTCTATCGAGGTTTCTAGAAGTTTCTATCTATCGAAAGCTCTCGAAGAGAGAAGATGTCATCGATAATTTCCTGCAAGTTTCCTAGAACCGCGACTAATCCTAGCAAGAAATACATCACTACAAACTCGCGAAGAGAAAAGAACAATTCTACTAAAATCAAATATTTTCATCGAACTTTCTAGAAGAAATCCAGACATGGCTGTTACGACCAGAGCTACCGAAGCAAAAATGGAGGAACAAATAAAGGCACTGATGGCAGAAATGACACAAAAAATAGGAAAAGGATAAAAATAAATAACACTAAGGATGGGCAAAGGACAAGAAGAAATGATACAGAAAATAGAAGCGGCACAAGTTGATATGAAAATGGGACAAGAAAAATTAAAAGCAGCTCAAGAACAAACTAAAGAAAAAGTGAAGTGACGTTTGGTCAGCCAGAAGACTCAAGTGCCTACAAATGAATATGTGCACAAACTACAAGAACCACTACAAGCCATTCAGAATTCTGTGCGTACGAAGCTGCGATGTGAATGTAACCGCATAAAGACCAGATACGATCGACCAGTCAACTTTGCTAGTTTTAATGAAGGCGACAAAGTGTGATTATACAATCCGTCAAGGCGGAAGGGAAGTTTGAGATCGTCGGTAGAATTCAGAAGAGACCTCGGGCAAAAATTAAGATCGTCCATCTTGACCGGCTTGCTTCCTTCAGATACGACATAACTGATCTGAACTTTTGGTTTGTAAGAGGGGGGGGGGGCAGTGTCACTTTTGAACAGTCCAACATACAGGGCTACGTAACCCAATATACATGGTGATCAGTTCGAGTTACGAGGCAATACAGAACAAATTAGAAACAGCGAAGAAGCGATGAAGTCTGCAGTATGGTGATTAATTAATAATAGTGGTAAAATAATTCGAAGTGGTCCGTATTCTATCGAAACTGCCAGACGATTTCGATATTTTTGGATCTCATCAGCGCGTCGCAGATAGCTCCGACAGAACTGTACGTAATACGTAATCCTAAAATGTAGCATCGTACTACAGATGGCGTTTACCGCGCCATCTGTGGTATTTAATAATAATGGTGTTCATTGAAAAGTAAATAGTTAAATAAATTAGCAAGCAGTCAAACAGGTGTTTGTCTACGTTACAATATATATTCTGAGCATGTTATTGAGGCATTTGCCATTGATTATTTTGACTAATACCGAAATAACAGGGACTGTTGGTTCCTCTTATCTGATAGTGTGGCACAGTTTCTGCATCATTGTCACTTGCAACTAGTGCAAACTCTACTTGAAACTGATTTTCAGCCGCAAGTAGATTTATGTTGGTCACATCCAAAGAAAATCGTTACAAAGCCTTATGTTTTTAATACGGTATTATTTAATGCTATTTCATGTAGGACAGAGTTATGAATTTTCACGATAGTCACTAGACAGTCCTCGATGAATAAGCGGTGTAAGCCTAATTATAAGCAAAAATCAGTAAATACTTAATTTTTTCCTAGTAGGATGATAGAGTTATTGGCAAATCATAAAAAAAGTTACCCGCCTGGTGTGTAGAAATTTATCTCATCCAGGATGTTATTTACCTACTATTTTTTACGTGACCTACATTTTTTTTCTTTCTTTTGTGTTTTTAATATGTGTTGAGGTTAAATTTATACAGTGTTGTATATCATCAGCAATGAACAAATGTACCTATTTAATTTATTTTTATCGTAATAAGGAGTTCAAACATTACGTGTAATAGTAAACTGTTTATTTATTTTAGACGTTCGATAGCTGTCACTGTCTATATTCTGCATCGAATCAACTGCAGTTTCAACCCAAGTTCGTTATTCGTACACACGTACGTTGCTAATTCACGCGCAGGATGGACTTTTCCCTCTATTCTAAAATTCTTTTTGTCCCTAACCACTCTGCTGAACTCACCATGCGATTTCTTCTTATATCTAATTTACAGCTTTCAAAGCTCCACACTTATTTCTGTTACACTCTGTATCACAACATCTAGACACGGAAATTATGCAGTTTCTTTATGTACTGTATATTTCACATTTATTCATCCAGTATATCAGAAGTAGTTGTGAGTTATTCATATATATTCATGTATATTATCAGCCGCATATTGACTGAACCTAACACACGCGCAATCCACGTTGAGCGTCGCAGTTAGAAGGTAGTGAGAGGATTGAGGTAAAAGTATACTTCTGGTTCTGAAAAATTTCATGACAAGTGAATTTTTTTCTGCCCGGAGGATTTGTCATAGGCGAAAGTTGAATTTAATTAAAAGTTTGTAAAGTGCTGGTATTTATGAGCTAGAAATTTTTGCCATTTGGTTTCTCAATAAAGAATATTCGTCGTTAAAAATGTTTTACAATTTGATTTAATTCTAAAATAAAAAAAATTATTTCTACATGTTTCCATGAAAATTGGTTCATCTGTTTCGAAGATTAGCCCATTCAGACAAAAGTTTTTTAAGGGTCGTTTATGTCTTAATAGCATACTAATAACCATATGAGCTTATAAAAAGGCAATTATTTCCATATTACAGGTAGACATCAATTTTCCTTATTTGTATTAAATGTGTATATACATAACTGGGGTTAATCACCGTCCCGTTCATAATTTCTGGGCTATGCCACTGGTAATTTAATATGCACCATTGGATACAACATTATTGTAAGATATTAAAACCACAAGTAGGTTCTACTTACTTTTTTTGTATTCATTCCATCGCTCTTTCGGTATTCGAACATCTTCATATTCGACCCCCGCATACGCAAAAATAAGTCGAATGGTTTCAGCTCGTCCTCTTGAATTAAAATATATTAGTTTGTAATGCGGAGCCATAACGGTGGTGCTTGAGTTTCTAAAAAAGGAAAAGACAAGTCGTTCTGAAACAAATCTTTCTGAAAACTGATCGGTAACTACAGAAATTCAGAAATAACAGTTTACTTCATAATGCTTGAAAATATTTACTTAAGTCTGATAACAATTCTTCGATAAAATTTGGAGGACATGTTCTCATAATCTATGATTAAATTTTGATACAATGTCCGTCGCTATTTTTGATGCGGCATGTCTTTTATTATCGCGCCTTCTTTTTATCTGTAATACAGAGAATTTTTTTTTATTCTAATTTTCAAAAGATCAGGAAAGATATGTTATAAACACCAATAGGAGTTAAGAATATTTATGAACTGTTCTGGTTGGTGTGGCTCACGTTTGAGCTAATTTAGAAAAGTTTATTGTGAAATGTATTTTACTTTTAATACCATAGTCAGCCACTAATGTTTTATTTTATGGTGCTTCTTCAGGCTTCATTGTGAGATCTAAGGTACATATTAGGCACAGATGCAAATAATATATGCGAGTAATGTCGTTCTCAAATTCAGTATCTAACTTTGTGATTTCCAATTCAAAAACCACGTTGATATATCGCATTTAAAATTAAACGTTAACTAGAAGTGTGATTGGTTATATTTAGGAATTAATTAGTTTTATTAGTTAAAAGTTTCTATTTTAGAATCACACTTGGTACACAATTAAATCACTTTTTATACAGGGTACTTCTGAAACAAGTAGCAAAATTACCGTTACATAGTAATTCAGGAGGGAAGGTAGGAGAATGAAAACCGAGGAACAGACTTTCTCGAGCTATCGAATTGTCGCTATTGTTTGCGTCAATATGTTTGTAATTTTGTAGTTTTTAATTGATTGTTTACAATAATGGTATTCTTTTAAGCAGAATTGCTGATTATTTCTGATCAGCATTACCTATTTTCCTATAAATAAATACTAGTTGGTAACTTTTATGTGGAATTGTTCAGAAATAAATGATATGTTTTTATCAGTTGCGTCAATATTTGACAAGTAAGATGCAGTTAAACATTAAATTTTACGAGAGATCTATTTTATCAAAACTAAAAACATGTCATTACGAAATTTTATTAGTTTTTGAAATTGCCAATTTCCATAAGATTCTTAGCAAACAGTTGCTTTAGCTATTGTTTTTATAGAGAGCCTTTCATAAATTAGCGCAAACAACGTAGCAAACGTCACCTGTAGAATATTAATATAATACTACTAGATTAATAAGGCTCTTTTATTCAAAACTAAATATATTACGCATCACACCATGACGGTCCTATTCATCAGCATTAAAAATTTTTATCTGCTACGAAACAAGACACTTCAAGCAAAAGTCACGTTTGTTAGTTGTAGATTTCCAAAAACTAAATAGTAAGATCATTGCGGTTGTGGAAAAGTGTATGTGGGCACGACCAAAAAAAGTGTCAAGACTCGCCTTTCCGAGCACAAAGAAGTTATAGGTTAGGAGAATCAGTCGTCGAGATGCATTCCTTTACTCATGAAGAAAATGGCTCATTTTGGATTCGCCTACAAAGGAAACAGGAAAAAAGATGACACGAAACCTAATGAAATATGGAATCCAGCCGTAAAAAAAATAAGTGTCACGTCACCCAAGCGGACAGTATAAGAAGCGGAACAGACACAAGCATAGACGTATTTGTCAGCAGTCAATTTCAGAACCAGGCATAGATGCTGCAATTTTTGGAATGTGAAAGAAAGGTAAAGTAAACACGAACGCGTATAGAGACAAATCCCGTAGATACAGAAGACGGTTTGTTATGATTGTTTAATCATCCTGGCGACATCACAGTGTGAATTTTTAGATGTCGCCGAAATATACAAGTTAGTACTTCATGAACCTAAACAACCTGATACGGCAAAAACATCGCAAATTAGCCAATCGATAAAGATGATCATTTCAGTCATCCAAAATAGACTTCCCGATAGATATAGTGATAATCCTATCAAAGGGGAAGTAACTGAAGATCAGTCCATAATTAGGCAACATTGTGAAATCGAAAACACCCAAGCTATATCACCTATCACAGACAAACCATTAAATAAGTTTAAAGTACACTTCAACTTCATATTTAATCGAACAGCAGGGTTACAGAAAAGTACATGTTTCGACAGAACCAAATATACCGTTCATATAATCGAACAAAATACTAACATAATTAGACAATAATAAATAGAATATATGGAAAAATTAATAAACTTTATTAAATATTAGCACGAAATATTGCTAGGAAGTTTCATAATATGATAAAAGCTTCAGTAATATATAATCATCGAGGAGCCCAAGAGGCATACGAGGAAATTAGTAGGAAATATTCCTAGTCAAATTTGATTAAGGATTGCTAAAAATTCGTAAATAACTGCAAAGTGTGTCGAATGGCAAAATATGAACGTCAGTCCATTTAATATTGTAATGTTCGTTGGTTAAACAAAATTAACTTCTAAGACTGATAACGACAAAAACTATTTATTTACACTAATTATTAAAGAACATAAAAACACTATTAAATTATTACTAAACTTAGGTTATGAATTATTCTATTTATTTACACTACTGTTGATATATCACTATTCACTGCGATATTTATTTCACTGCTATCACTGTCAATTTATTTCTCAATTCACTTCTGCAACGATCACTTTACTTTCTTCCCCTCTCGGCGATCGTCTGTTCCTTTAAATTTTTGTTTACTTTCTGGAACCTTCTGGAAACATCGAAATCGCCAGCTTCTGTAGGTTATTTTCCAGAAGATGCCCGCGGAGCTCCATTACTGCATCTCAAAGGTCTCTATAAGTTGGGTTATCAGAGCAACTTCCTTTAGTTACCAGGTAATAGATATTGCGTCGTCCGTCAGGTAGGCACAATAGTCTTCATCCTTTCTGTTCTTGGTCTTCAAGATGTTTCAAACAGCCAAATTTGCGTTTGAACTAGGACGCGATACGACGGCTCATTCTGAGATCCTTTGAAACGCAATGGGCCAGAGAATATTCCTTAGATATAGCAAAGAGGTCTTGTCGGATTTCTTGCGTCACTACAAATCTCCTGTTATCATAGGGGCCTTCCTTTATGAACTCTTCGAATGTGGGCTCGGAAGGAATGGTTCTTAATAATCTGGCCCGCGTCTCCTCTTCATTTGCACCGGCGAATGGAGCCAAGCGATTAAAATGGACTACCTTCGACTTCCCATTTGGAGTTTTCTTAATTCGGTAGATCACGTCATTAATCCTCTTCACTATTTCATAGAGTCCTTCCTAATTCTGTTGGAACTTAGGTGATAGTCCACGGCGGCGACGAGGATTATACAACCAAGCAAGATCTCCAGTTTGGTAACCACCTGCTGTAGCCTTAGTATCGTATCGTAGTTTTCTTTAATCCCGCCACTAGCAATCTGCATATGCAGACGAACCGACTCATGGATATCGTTAAGCTATATGCGGAGGTTGGTAACATAATCTTGGCCACCAGACGATCCTTCATAAAGATACTGCAACACTTCTCTAACCTTGTTTCGAGGAATAACCAATTGCTTCCTATCTTCCTCTCCATCTGGACATTCAACAACACGCTTCAGGATGTCATCCTCTAAACCAATCCTAAGTCCCACTGAGTCATCAAACCGTGGTAGTGGATAACTGTATTTCTTGGTTACGTTGTTGAGCTGTCGGTAATCCACACAAAAACGGATTGTACCATCCTTCTTCTTTACTAGTACTACCGGTGATGTCCATGGACTTGATGATGGCTCAATTATGCCGGTCTCCTGCATTTCGTGGATTATTGGTTCTGCTTCTTCTTTCTTGGTCAGGGACAATCGTCTAGGTTTTTGACGAATAGGCTGCGCATTACCAGTATTGATCTTGTGTTTTACGATATTGGTCCTTCCCCTACCATTCTTGTCAGTCTTAAAGACGTCAGCATTCTGACAAAGTAGCTGTTGCACTTTGCGTTTCTGCTCTCGGGTTAGATTCCTACAATCTCTGTCAACTACTCCACTTATTTCAACAGGTACTGTTTCATAATTTACCTTTCGGGTTACAGCTTCCTGTCTATCTTTGATGAAATAGAATTCTTCGCCATTCAGTCTTAGAACGCGTCTTCTTAAATTTATATCAAATTCGTATTTTTGTAAAACGTCCAACCCAAGAATTACGTCATCTTCAATATCTGTCACTAGCACTCGATGTTTAAAGACAGTCTTACCGATTTCAAGTGACACGTTAGCTTTGCCATGAACAACCGCTTTTTAACCGGTAGTCGTACGCAGAACCCACTTAGTTGACACGACCTGGTTAGAACCCTCGACTACGCCGGGTTTTACTATGCTCCTATTGGCCCCAGTGTCCAAAAGAAACGCGCATCTTCGTCTATTTATTTTTCCACCTAGGAGTATACTGCCATTCTGGTGCTTCAATGTCTTCGTAAATGCGATAAATTCGGTGTCTTTTTATCCGTGGCTCAACGTTTGCCCCGTTACGTCGACCCTATCTAGTTTTCCTGCTATTGAAGTCGAGTACCTGGGGAAGGAGTACTTTTCCTAAGCTGCCTCTTCGTATGACCTGGTTCGCCGGAATTCCAACATCTTAGCTTTCGAGTTTCTTTATCGAACTTGAAGATGATTCGGCAGACGGTTTCTTCTAAAGATTCTGACGAATCCGTTTCTTCATACAGTAGCCGAACCTTTTCCTGTTTGCTATAGGCCCATTTAACAGTTTCGTGCTCCAATGCACGAGCCAATGCATCAGCTAGCGTTAGGTCGGTCAAGGTGTATTCATTGTTGAGTATCTCTGTCTCTGTCCCGAAGTCCATTAGTAAATGCCTCTACTGCCAACCTTTCCATCAATTCCTCTGGAGTATTAGGATAGGTCATTCGAGACAGTCTCGCAATATCGGCCTCTAATTTTTGTAGGGATTCCGTTGGTTTCTGCTGACGGGTTTTTCTGGATAATAAGTTGTGGAGGAAAATCGATTCGATGACGGCA